CCCATCCACATGCTGCTGCAAGACCCCACCTCCCTCCAAATAATGGCAATGAAATTCAGAGTGCGGGGACTGAAATTTTTAAGATTTTGATGTTTCTTTCTGACAAAGGACATGCTTATTTAGTTCTGATCTAGAAAGGTCTAATTCTCTCATAATTTTGAGATGGCAAAAGCACTAGGTGCTAACTTATCGAGTGAACTCATTAGTTGACCTAAAACTCATTGAGTCCCCCCTGCTGTTAACGCATGACTGAGGTACTTTTTATAGAGTTAGGACAGCTTTGTTTGGTCTCTAATTCTTTAGGAATTTTGTTGTAGTTATTGTATACATCATTTTACTTACTGTAGCTGACTTCACTACTACTTTACAAATTGGGTATTACTAACAACCTTTTGCAACGTAATAAATATTGTTCTGTTTGGTTGAAGCTTTACCCAGCTGTGAGTGGTGATTTGTCAAGTGGCCCGCTTGCTGTTTGATGATTATTTTTTTGTGTTGGTAAAATTGTTAATAAAACTGTTCTTTTGAAGTATTTGTGCAGAGTGCCTCTGAAAAGACTTTGTTTGTAGTCTGTGAAAATGCAGTGTCACAGTGTTTAACTGGCGCTCCATCCTTGGCTTCCTGCCACATCTAGGGGCCAAGGTGTTTTGTAAGGTGTTTTGTATTCTCTCCTCTTGTGTTCACAGGTGCACTGTTCCCTGCACTTGGCTGTGAACCAGGTCTACCTGAGGAAGCTGAGACACAGGGCAAATGAGGAGAAGCTCTGACCTGTACGGGAGACTGCAGAGACAGTGGAGGGATGCTGTGCTCTCCGTACCCTGACAACACAGACACCTGACAGCACCTCTAGTTTTGCTGCAGGAGCTTTCCATGATGGCCATCACTATTTAGCTGGTCATCAAAATGACACTTTTGTGAAGTGTAACAATTTTTTTTGTTAAATTGATTCCCTTCAGTATTTTTTCATTAAAATATAGGCTATTGTGTTACATCTCAAGTTATGAAATGGTACCAATGCAGTCTTTTTTTAAACTGAGCCACAACAGTTCAAGATGTTGTGCTTATTTCCTATGGTCTGCATTTGACAAATGTCTGTCGAATCTATACTTTCTGTATATTTCCTAAAGTCAGAGATTTTAAAAAACTATGTAGTTTGAAAGGCAAACTTGATGGAAAAACATTTTATTTCCTGCCTAGGTCTGTTTTCACAGTATGCGGTGCATGCTTGATATCCTTTTTTAATGAAAGGGAAATAAACAGTGTTCACTGTCTCTCAGATTCCCACACACTTGGTCATTCAATTAAATTCAAGGTGTTGTGTGATGAAATTCAAATAAGGTCCATTTTGGGCTAAAATTTCAAGACCTGTGTTTTACTCATGATCTTAATACTGCAAATATTAGGGCTCTTTTCTTGATGTAAAAATTACTGCATAATGGTTGAGAGCTGAAGTATACTCATTAGAGTGACCTATTTTGTTTTAATAATAGTTGTAAGAGCTTTTGTCATTTTTTTAAAGCCACATACTTCAATGAATTTTCAAGGCATGAGCACAAAAACCACAGACAAGTTAGTGTCTCCATTTGGTATGTTGCATGTTTTATTTGAAGCCAAGCAATGGCGAGTATGCGCCACTTTGCCAGCATGCTGGCACAACCAGTCTTCTCCTCCGTAGTGCAAAAAAGAGGCGTAAGGGGAATTGTTCAATAGATCAACACATCATCAAGATGAGCAGTCTATTTTTTCAACCAGCTTAAATCACACTCAGGGGTTGAGTGCTGAGGCTGAAACAGACGTTAAGTGTCATTTTGTACGTTGTTATAAAATGAATGCCCTTTACATAAGCCATTAATATGGACAGCCAAAAGAAATTAGATTTTACATTCATAAATTACAGCAACATTAAAAATATTGACAAACTGCGATGCAGTGATATAAGACAGCAACATGAGCACAACAGTTTAAAAGTACCCACTGACTCTCAGGTAAGTTAGATTTCAGGTAAACACTGTGATAGGCTAGATTATCTGAAAAGGAACAGGAAGGAATAAGAAAAATAAGCTAAAAGCCCCCAGTTTTGCTTTCAATTAACGTAGGCTACCAGCTTGATTTTGTTAAAATGCCCTACTCAGTTCACAGTTCATAAAGTTTCTCTCATAAGCTGTGAGTACCAGTATTCAACACACCTTATCAAAACTTTAACAGTAATCATATGAACAAGATCATTATAATAAGCCAACATTAAACCAAATAACTGTGCAATAAGTAAATATGACTACCTGATTGGATTTGGTTCACTTTCACAGTGAAGCTCCTGGAACGTTCACCATTAGCCTGCACGCACACTGAAATATGATGCAATCTTTGACTCGAAAGGCAAATAATGTGATCTCACGCTGAGAGAATACACACTACCTCCAACAGGAAAAGGGTATGAGAACATGGACTATAAGGAGAATAATAGTGACTTTGTGCATTTAGAAGATGAAAACATTTTGTCTTATTTATGCAAAAGGTATGGTTGTTTGAGTAGCCTACATATAATATACTATTCCAGCAGCAATCAAAATACTGAAGTTAAACTCAGTTTGAAGCATTATATAATCTGACCTTTTCTTGACCCATACAGACAAACAACAAGCGTGAGTAAGCTCGTATGCAAAAATGTTGAAAATAAAAGTACAGTACCGTCCAGCTGAAAAAAGTAAACATCGTAAATTGTCAGAATACTGAATGAATGGACAGGAGAGGTGATGTACACACATTAGTGGTAACGGCCTTATCCTTGTGCTCAGGCTGCTTCACATTGCACTGAGACCTCGAATGACCAGACTGACAGCACAAGACGCATGTAATATATCGATAAAGCGCAGGAGACCTTCAGAATAAGCAAAGCGAAAAGGACTGGAATGTTGAGGCCTGCCACGCCATCAACAAGGCAGACACAGGATTACAAACATGCCATAATTATAAGAAAAAAAAGATTGTTAATTATAATAATTAAAACCTCCTACTACAATCAGCCCTTGATCAAACACTGAAGCCTAATGTAAATATCACCCGTCTGTAAAAAAATAAAAATAAATAAATGTCAGAGGAAGAAAATGTGCTTCACAGAAAAATAAACACCAGTTTATCAACAACAGCAGCAAAAGCAGTATTATTTTTGAACTTTGGGAAACACTAATCCTTACTTCATAAGCAGACCCATGTACATAAATCACGGGAAATAAAAATGATCCAAATAATAATAATTATGATGATTAATAATAATGCCCAACTTGTGTAACTGACACCTCCGGCAGTGCAGTGGTAATAGATATAATAGTCAAATGAATAAGAGCACCACAGCAGCTTGTACCCGATGCTTACAGTCAGAGCTGCAAAACTAAAGCTCACACTTCCCATCCCACTGAACAAAAACAAGACCCATCTTCCTGTTGAGCGCAGCAATCATTTCACTTCCTCGTACCTCAAATTATATTGGTCATCATGCTGATGTTGAGAGTTCCCAAGCACAAGATCTGCCAGATTTGGGAACACTGTCGCTCACAGATACTTTCAGTGTCCAGAAAATACACTGGTTCTCCATTTTTCTGCTGATAACAAGATCTAATAATACGAAAATGTGATGTTGTACTCAAAGTCCCTCTAATAACCCAGGAACATCAGCTCATGGACGGACTGTTGACTGTATGTTGCTGTACCAATGGTAGAATGTGCTCTTCAAGAGAGGATTGGTATATTCTCTTGTCAACTGTATTAACTAAAATTATTAATTATTTCAATTAAACTAAGTCCTGCATAGACAGACAAAGCTGAAGCTGGGTAAACATGTTTTGTGCAACACTACTGAAAGCAGACAGAGTACAAAGGATCAGTGTGTCTGTTACAGTGTGCCTTTAACCTGGTTAGAGGTTCAATTCAACAATCTAGATACGAGCTGAATCCTTGACACTGCACTCCGCAGAGCAGCTGTATCTTCTCCACATTATCTTTAGGGAATACTGTGCTCATTAGCTTGTACCTACAGTATGTGTACCATAAACAATATCTGACTGGCTCGCAAAACTGCCCCCAGGCAAGTTTCAGCCAGAGAGATTTACACAAGGTGGATTTCGTGTATCTGCACCTGACCAATCAGCAGCAAGACGCACGAGAGGTTTTGCGGTTGCCATGCAGATCAATAGTACTACCCAGTAATGCATGGTCAATCTGGTCCTCAGCAGCCAGAACCTCCCTGACAGCTGCCTCAAATGCAGCTGTGACATTAGTGTCGTCTTTAGCACTGGTCTCAAAGTAAGGGCAGCAGCCATTCTCTTCACACCAGGCCCGTGCTTCGTCCTCCCCCACCTGCCTCTGCTCCATATCTAACTTATTGCCTAGCACCACAAAAGGGAACCTCTCAGGGTCTTTCACATCCGAGTAGAACATGAACTCCTTCTTCCAGCAGCCGAGGTTCTGGAAGCTCTGCAGGTCGTTCACAGCAAATGTGAGCAGGCAGCAGTCTGCGCCTCGGTAGAAAGGCGTGCGCAGGGACTTAAAGCGCTCCTGGCCTGCTGTGTCCCAGATCTGAAGAGTGACCAGGCGCCCATCCACCTCCAGGTCGCGGTTGAGGAACTCCACGCCGATGGTGTGAAAGGACTGGGAGTCAAAGCGGTCTGTGACATAGCGGTTCATTAGGGAGGACTTGCCCACTCCACCGTCCCCCAGCAGGATCACCTTCAGCAGCAGGCTCTTCCCGCTCATCATGTTTCCTCCTCGCTGGTTTATGGGCCTCCACACCTGGAGGCAGACCAGGGTCAATTGAACCTATAAAGAGGAAGAAACGCAAAAACAGATACTTACTACACAATAAAAAGGGAAACAAAAAATACTATTGGGAAATAGGACATAAAATAGATTGACTTCTGTGAAAATTCAATACCCAAACCAGTCTATACTGATAAAACAGTGTAGATAACAAGAGGAAAAGACTGCTGTTTTAGCAACATTTGGACACAAACTCAAATGAACCTTTCTGACAATGAACGCCAGCCATATGAATGTGTGTAATGGTTGACTAGTTTCAGGGACACGGTGACAGGGGTGAAGGGCCGAGAGGTCTCTGACTACGGCCTTTTTGTTTCCTACAAGACACGGTTATACTGACTCATAATAACCTACACATGAAGTATGCTTGACAGCCATACATGCCAGGACATAAACATCAACACAAAAAACAACACAGAATTATTTTTATCACATATATAACAGGTGAAGTGTAGGAGTGTTACGCTACCCCACAAAAACAGGGGCGAGGGTCATGAGCTGACTCTGAAAACGACCACTTCACATACGCAGACCACAAACATGTACCAGCTTGTTGTCAGCTGTCGCTGGCAGCTAACTTTCAACTCTGACTGAACTGCTGCGTCGATGTGAAACTCGTTCATAACGTCATAACGTGCCTCAGAGCAGAACTGAACTAGGAACCGAAAACAGGTGACAGACTTGCAACAAACAAATGAACTGTTATACTGTGTAGCGCTTAGCAAGCCTCCCAGCCAACTAGCCTGCTAGCCGGCTAGAGTGATGGCTTGTTGACATTCAATCCTGGTCCTCGGCTAACTAGCCTCTGTGCATGCGACTCAAAACAATTTTTAAAAGCGCTGTAAGCAACAAAAGAACGCGTGTTGCAGTGGGGTGGTATATCTATTATTGAATTCATCTAATATAAAAAGAACAAACGTGAATTTTCACTCACCCTGTTCCTTGTAGTTTATATTGCTTGCTCTGCCCTGCTCCGTTACATCTCAATGAGATTGAGTGTCGTGACGTGCGCGCGCCCCCATCGAGGACCTGCACGTGCACGCTGCACAGGCAAACCGAGGTCCTAAAGACCACATATGACAACAAAGTGTCTGTGAGGTGTACTTCTTTTGATTACTTTATAATTCTACTTCACGACATTTAAGAGGAAACTGTTGTATCTTTTGCTCCATTATAATGATATATATACACCAATTTTTAAAGCAGAGGGCAACTTTGTAATTGTAGTCTTGTACCTTTTTCATGGTAACGGCACAGGCATACAGTTAAAATATTCGTTTATGAAAGCAGCACTACAAAGCCTTTCTACGCACCTTGTAATAAAAATATTAATAGTTTTTTATTATTTTCCATTACATAGGAGAACAACATTCTTTCATTTGAAGAAAAATATTGTTTGCATTATTTAGTGAAATGCAATAAGGAAAACCAAATGAAGGAATAACATGGAGACTTTTTATTAGAGGCTTCTTACATTTACTTCTGCGGATGTGAATCTACTGGTAGTGTAAATGTATTTGTGTAGGACAGTACATTTCAAAGTTATTCTGGCTTAAGACTCATTTCGATTTTTGTTCTTTTTAGGTTTTGTATGAAGTGTTGGTTATAGTGTCTTTATTCTAAGCATCTTGTGTTTTATGTACCCACCCTAAGTGCATTGCATTAAGCTCTAGTAAATTATGTTGTAATATTTTGCTACCAAATAAATTTTGCGTTGGATTTTTACAAACTGCACACTGAATCACAGACGTTTAGTAGAGCAATGTGCACTCCGGTGCTGTAGGTGGCGGTGTGCAGCTTGGACCCAAAGAAGAAGAAAAAACAGAACCGTAGAATAAAAGTAGGTAAAACAGTTATTAAAGAGCAAAAACTAAATGAAACTGGAAGACATCTTTACAGTATACAGAATCATGTTGGTCGAAATAAAGCTGGGTGCTTACCGGAAGACAGAGACAGTCATTACCCGTCTAAGGATAGCGCACACAGAGCTTAACCACTCACTTCATAAAATAGGTAAACACCCAACTTGACACTGTGCAAAATGTAATAGTTTAGAGACAATTCAACATGTGCTGGTTGAGTGCAGGGGCTATATGGAAACGAGGAAGAAAATAGCAACAGTTGTGGCGAAAGCTAAGCTAAGTCCGGTAGGTGGCAGTAATGCTCCTAAACGCTGGTTGCCAACTGCCAATCTAATCAAAAGAAGAAGATGCTTTTTGTTTATTCCCTCTTCACTGTTGGTTGTCATCGAACAGCATCTGTTCATGAGAACAGGCTTGTAGTGCGGAGGACAACTACATACTTTAGCTTTGAAGCGTCAAGAAAACGCATCTTCATGTGTTGGCTGCAGTGATGATGGTAGGACATAGTGTAAATGTTTCGCTACTGGTGCATGCTCAGAAACCACTGACACGTATGATTGAAATGTTACAGTCAATTGCAAATGTTTGTTCAGCGAAGTTAGTTGCAAGGAGAAATAACTGCATCCCGCTTTTATTTGGGTTATGAGCAGCAAAACAGGTCGTGACGAGACCGAAGAATCACGTCTGGATTAGACAAATAAGAAAGTGAATTGGTTTGTCCTTTAGAATTGTGCCCTGCTTGTGTTCGAGTAATGCAGGTCTTTGAAATGTGTTTGTGTCTGTTCCTTTCAACCTTTATAGATGGCAGGTAGAGGCAGGCTGGTTCCCTGTGCGTGTCTGGGGCTGTTTGGAGTCCTGTGCTGGGTCTGGGTCTCCTTTGCGTCCTTTCCAGACGATCAGCTTGCCCTGGAGGCCTTGGATGCAGTGGACCGCGGAGCCTTTCAGCCCCAGAGTGCGCTATCAGAGATGGAGTTTGCCTCCATCAGTTCATACAGAGGACCTGGCAACAGTGACCGCCGCAGGAACAAGGAGCTGCCCATTCTCCTCTGGTGGAGTGGAGGACTATTCCCGCATTTTCCTGGTGACACTGAACGCATTGACTGTGCCACGTCCTCCTGCCTGGTCACGAGCAACCGCAAGGTACCAGCGAAATGTAACCTCATAAATCGTTTTATTGAACCCCCCCTGGCTGAGACAGAGGGACAGCAGCATGCTCACATTAATAATAATTATAATCTGCAATTGTTCCGCAAGTAATCTTGAGTTTGATCTTGATCAAGGTCCAGCTGTACAAACGGACAGCATCCATCATCTTTTATGGAACAGACTTCAGGGCATATGAGGCGCCGCTCCCTCGTCTTCCCCACCAAACCTGGGCACTGTTCCATGAAGAGTCACCCATGAATAACTATGCCCTCTCCCATGGACCAGGAATCAGGCTGTTCAACTACACTGCCACGTTTCGCAGGGAGTCAGACTATCCCCTGACCCTGCAGTGGCTACCCTCTCTGGACTACTTGCTGATGCCTGTGGTGGTGTCCCTGGAGGAGAAGAACCGGCTGAGGAGGGAAGGCCTGGCTCCTGTGCTCTACATGCAGTCCCACTGCGATGTACCGTCAGACAGAAACAGATATGTCCAGGAGCTCATGAAGTACATTCAGGTACAGTACTGGGATGTTCTTTCACAAAGATGCATGCTATATGAGTTTAGCGGTTTCCAGTTTACTGCCTGATTTATTAAGGCTCCTTTAAACTAGATGTGTGCTTAGTGAGGTGCAATTTCCCCGGTATTAGAGCTGAGGTGGAATTGTACTTCCACAATCCACATGCTGTAGCATTGCTGTATGAAATAAACGTCAGCTCCTGTTCTGCACAGATATCAGGGCACGTTTCTGCTTGCTGTTGAATACCATTTTCACTTGTCTCCTCAATTTTGGAGCGTCCAATAGCCATTCTTTACAATAAATATCAGTTGGCTCACATACTATGAAGATGTAGTGTACTGTAGGGTAGAGTCTTCCACGTTTCCTCTTGCATACAGGTCAGTTGGTCAAAATTATTCATCTTCACGCGTGCAGTGTGAAGTAACACGGTAACACCTCTGTAAATGCTTTTTAAATAAAGCCCTCAGTGTGATGTTTGTGAATTCCCATCGGGAGCTGAAATGTATCAGGGTTTTATGAAAAATAAAAGTTTTATGCCAGTGTCATATTAATAATCTCCCAAATGTTCCCTAAGTGTGCCCCCATCTTTCTCACACATTATTTTCTCCCTCTGTAGGTGGACTCCTACGGGAAATGCTTGAACAACAAACCTCTACCTGAACATCTGGAGGACACGGCCACAGCTACCGGCGAAGATCCCAAATTTATGAATTTTGTCGCACGCTACAAGTTTCACCTGGCACTGGAGAACGGCCTGTGTCCGGATTACATGACAGAGAAGCTGTGGCGGCCTCTCCATCAGGGCTGTGTGCCCGTCTATCGAGGCTCCTCTGTGGTGGCAGACTGGATGCCCAACGACCACTCTGCAATCATCATAGATAACTTCGCCTCACCGAAAGCTCTCGCTGAATTCCTCAAACATCTTGATGAGAATGATGATGAATATGCAAAATATTTAGAGTTCAAGAACCCCAACCACATTACTAACGCTCATTTGCTGAAGGATCTGGAGACCCGTGAGTGGGGGGTTAATGACATGAGTAAACCAAACTACCTGAATGGATTTGAATGTTACGTGTGTGACCAGGAAAATGCACGGCTGGCAGCAGAACGAGCCTATAGGAAAGACCCTGAGAAGAACCAACCTCCTCAGCCTAAAATGGCCAATAACTCTCACATGGGGTGCCCCCTGCCCAGCCCAGGGTACGGAGATGTCCAAGACTTACCAGCAGATGATGGGTGAGTTTGTCTTAAATGATTCACTGTGCCAGGTGTGAAATCCTTGTACTTTTCAGTACTTTAATGTGAATAACAATGTACCAAGGGGAGAGAAATCAGTCTATTTTAATGGTCTAATTAAAATATCCTCTGTGATGAGTCTAATCTGTTTGTATATCTGTCCGCAGATGGCTGCAAATATGGCCTCAGGATTACTGGCAGAGCCTGGACCAAGCAGAGGGGCTGGAATCTCTGATAAGACATAACGAGTCAGACCCTTCGCTGCTGTGGAAGCACATCCAAAACATTGCTGTGAGCAGAGCCAGAGGAAAACACTGACACAGGCCTAGAAACAAATATGTGGTGCACATCCAGGATTACAGGGGTGTCCCATATTATGCATCCCTTCTGTTCAAATGAGGGAAATAAGCAGAAATTACTCATATTATTGCACCTGAGCCAAACCTCCTTTACTCTCATGAGCAGTGTAGTTCAGAGTTTGACATTGTATTCAGATGACATGATACTTGTGTCCTTTTTTAGTGTGCTATATATTAATATTTTTAAGTCGCTTTATTACTTTAACTGAGGTGCCATCATTGCCCATACTTCCACTTTGCATTGTTAATGTTAACTGCATGCAGTGCAGTTGTTCCAGAGGCACATTCTCATGGGATGTGGATTTTTATTGGACTGGGGCAGAGCCAAAGACTTGTCCTCTGTGCCAAGGGAGCTCTGCCTAACTGTGTGTGAAGACCATCAAGACAGTAGCCAATGAACTGCATTAGCTTCTTTACAGTTACTCAGCAGGTAGCTGATGGTTATTAGCTAAAGTCACATTTATGTACACAGCTGCTGTAACTGACTATGCAAGGAAAATATTATTTCACCAAGGAGTGGAGAATGTGGCAAATGTAACTCCCCTGTGGGAAATCTCCACTGCATTTGCAAAGTAGTTCTCAGGAACAGCTTATCTTATGAATTTCTGTGGCAGATGCTTTATAATATTGTCTAACTGTTGTCTGTTACATGATGCTAACGTCATGTTGATGTGCAATACTTTTTGAATAATGGTTTTCTAAAACATGTAACTGCTTGAGACCCCATGACAGTATTGTGGCTATTAGCGCAATGGCTTTGTATCACATATTTATACCAGGATCATATAAATCTTTTTATTTTCTTAACAAAACATCACATGTGAACACTCTTTTGTATCAAGAAGAGCAAAATAAGTAAACATTTTCTAACATAGTAATTTTTTTGCATAATTATTCTTGCCAAAACCCCACTTGCCTGTATTAGTCTGTTCATACATATATATATATATATTACAGACATATCCTTCATAATTTACTATTTCAAGCAGATACAGCTTTCACCACCAGGAAAAAAACAACACAAGCTTGTACAACATATTTGAGAAATTAGAAATTTAACCTTATGTAAGAATCAACATTAAGCAATGATATTGGTCACTATAACTGCCTCTTTGATGACCCTAAACACACTCCGGAGTTCAAACTTTGCGAAAGACCAGTTCTCACTTTATATGCAAATGAACGTGAAGGGAAGGGGACGAGGATAAGAGGCTGCTGAAGAGCTTCGATAATCAGTCCAAGGCTTTGGAGTAGCAGCTCTCGCAGTGGACTTTTCCACTATGTAGGAACATACTGTAGAGAAGGTCTCCCATTGGCTTACTACACATGTCACACTGAAAAATTGGGAGAATGTCATTAGAAAATGTAATTATGAGAAATACAGTGAAGAGCAGTGTTTTTATCCTCATCACAGTATACAAAATTGTTTGAAAACACAATTACCTGGTTAAACCTTTGATACATTGACTTGCAATATGCAATAGCTAAATATAATTTGGATTTGAAGACTCATTTAAAAAAGCAATTAATGTAAGTTACTATATGAAAGGAATAGCTTGATCATTTGGGAAATATAGGCTACATATTGGCAATTTTGCCAATACTTACATAAGAAGATTGATACCACTCTCTCTCTTCTGTCTGTCAAATATAAAGCTACAGCCTGCACCAAGTTAGCTTATCATGAAGACAGGAAATGGTTTAACAGCTACTGGCTCTAGAAATTAGCTGTGTCTAAAGTTAAGAAAGAAAAATCCACCCATCAATATATCTGAAACTCACTAATTAATGTGCCATCTCTAGTTTGTTTAATCTGTATCAAAACACACTGTAAAAACAGCAGTTTTTCCTGGAGTCACCAATGGTTGCCTGGTTCCTTAGTGGAGGAGTGACTCCTCTTGGCCAAGAAATACTCTGGTAGTTTTTACTTTTTTACTTAAGTAGGAGGATTCTTGAACTATAGAGAGAGCAAGGCTAGCTCTTTACCCCTGTTTCTTGTCTTTACACTTAGCTAATCAGTTCATGGCTTGAGAGTTGTATCAATCTTCTCATCTAAAGGCTCTTTTAGACGCAACAACATCACCACTGTGCTTTGAAACACAGTATTTCCAATGGCTTGCAACAGGCCACAACAGCGCAGCTTGGTGATCTCGTGCCCAAAGTTCCACTAGGTTGAACTTGGAACGAGACAGCGCAGCTCAAATCATGTTTTTTCTGAAAGGGCCTCAACTATTTGCAAAAAAAGTGACATATTTACCAAAAGGTCAAACTATTTTTTAAGGGGAACAAAAGCTCATTTTACCCAGGTCAGTCCCTTCAAGGACATGTGAATATACCCAACAATTTATAGTCCAATAAAAACAAAACTGTATCTTCAGCAGAACTGTATCTGAGCAGACAGATGAATTACCTTGAAGCAGGCAGGGTGGCAGTTGATATTGAGGTGCTGGATGGAGATCTTGGCATCACTGCCTACTGGCTTTCCACAGTATGTACAGGCGGATGACAGAGAGCCACTGGGGAGACAGAGCGATTGAGACAGGTTAGTTTGGCCACTGACTCAAGCAGCTCTCATACAACCACAGCTCTGTCTGGTAAAATAACCTGTTACCCTTTCTGTCCAGCGCAGGGGGAACTTAATGATAAATAATCCTTTGATGTCCCTGCTTAGCCTCCTAATGAGCAGGTTTGGTGGAATTTCTGCCCTACTGCTTACACATATCTAGTTTTGTCAGGAGTGGGAATAACAAGGCAGGGGAGAAAGGGCTCAAGCTCATAGCTGGTTTAAAACAGGTTTAGGGAATTGTGTTGTCACCAGGAGTGACAACACAATTCCCAGCAGCTGCTGAAAGAGTAATTAACAGAACTTAATGTCAAATAATCCGACCCATTATGGAAACAAGAGCAACTAGAAAAGACACAATTTTCTGAAGAATATGTACGTGCCTAAAACTTGCAGTTAAAACATTTTGAAATAGTTAAAATACTGAAAGAAGTTGAAGTGTCACTCTTGTGTAAGTGATGTGTTGAGCTGGAAGTGTCAGTTGAAGCCCTGAAAGAAATTAGCGGAAGTGTACAAACTGAATGATATCAGCTGAACTGTAAGCACAGTTTAAGCATATGTGTTTCACCGGTGGAAGTAATTGACCTTGCAGAGTTGGAAATGTTAGTTGAAGTGTACACATTGAAAGGAGTTGAAGAGAAATGCAGTCATTGAAAGAACAAGAGATGGAGGCAACTGAAGTGTCTGGGGAGAAAGGGCTCAGGTTCCCAGCTTATTTAATACAGGTTTAGAGAATTGTGTTATTACCTGGTGTAAGTGGAGGGGCTGCTGTAAGAGTAACTGGCAGAGCTTGATGTCAAATAATCTGACCCACTATGGAAAAAAGAGCAGTTAGTAAGTCATCATGAGAGCAGTGTGTTTTAATCAATATTGTTATTTGATTGTGTAAATAACATATTGGTCCTACCTATTGATTGTGTCTCTGGCATTATACAAGGACAGCTCTGTTGCATTGACATACTCCTTCACAAACACAAACCCTCTTTAGCAGAGGCAGAGGAAGGAAAGAGTGAGTTAATTTGCACAGTTAAGATAGATATGAGCTGTCACTTTAATTTTAATGTCTAGTAAAATCCCTCACTTTTTAGTATCAGGTTCTGGTGTTTGGACATCTTCTGTCACGCTCCTGGAATAGGTTTCATAACTAGAGACAGAGTGCAGCAGGGTTAGTCTCATCTTTCACTCACTGATGACAGTAGTGTGATGGGTTATACAGAAGGACCCTACATCTGTCAAATTTAACTCAGGAGATAATCATTTTCTGCCATCGCTTGTTAATGGCGTGCTGTTTAACGGGCTGTGATTTGACAAAAGGACGTCTCTAATACACATCATTAATCTGACATCTGGAGACTGATAATTAGAGAGAAGGAAATGAGGGCAAATTGAAAGACAATGGGAGAGCAGATCTTGTCATTTAACTTCAGTAATAGAGTTAGAGTCAGGAGCCTCTTTAGCCAGGCAACATTCAGGAGCTACAGGTAATGTTAGATCCAGATTGCAGTATTAAGCGGATACAGCGGCTTTCGCACAGGATTTGGACTACATTTCTTACCCCCTAACCAAGACGGCTGTGTTCCTAACACAGAGACAAAAGCAGATCTGGCAGGTGAAAGTCTAAAACAAGCCCAGATGAACTAAATATGAAATGGTGTGTGCTTAATTTTAAATACATTTCATTAAATTAAACTTGGATTCAACTCATAGAATAACAGGTACATTTCATTTCCATACAGTGCCAGATTCATAAAAGACAAAAAGCTCCGGTTTAAAGGAGAGTGTCTTTACAAAAGTAAGAAAATCAACAGACCGAATAGCAGAAAATAACACTCTGGAGAAAGTATTCTTGCATTATGCTGTGTCTGACGTGAACAAGATCATAAACTTACCGATCCATAGCGGGCTCTGGCTCACTGTGTATCTCCCTGGAAAGTAAAGAAAGCTGTATTAGACTTCTACTGTAGGCTGTAGCAGTCAATAACCCGGATGGCGTCCAGTGAACAAGAATGCTGCGTTTTTTATAAGTGTATGAAGCAGATCTTTGTGAATCACAGCTCCAGAGGGGTCTGGGTTTATTGACCAGGTGTGGTCTGTTTTCTATTGTACTGCAGCATTGCCTCATTCTGAGCCCTCCTCCCGTGCTTTGTAATCATAAACATCACCTACATGTGTCTCATTCTCTCAGTTCCTATTAATCTCCCCAGTTTTTGATCAGAAGATGTGAGTTTTAAGAATTTCAAAGGTTTTTTCCCAACCTGATAGTGGTGACGGTTGTGACTATCTGGGTCTGCGTATCCTCGGGGCTACAAAATAGAGGACATTCCTGTATTGTAATAGGTCTGGCAGTACAGGTGGAAAAGCAACAAAAGTTGAATATTCTCAGACTAAGCCGAAAGGAAGTTTCAGCTTGCTTTCAATTAAATGGTTGACAGGCACTGCATTTTAAGGTGCTATAATCACATCCTGCTACAATTGAGAAAAATAAAGTGGTTTATTATGCATATAATGAGCCCAACAACAGTGGATATACCTTTCCTCTTCTTCCTCTTCCTCCTCTTCCTCTCCTGTAGTTGTACTGATAGTATAGAGAGTGGGGGATGTCCACCTGTCCCATGGGGAGTCATTCTCAGTTGATCTGGAGCACAAACATAGACATGACATAGTAGCTTGGATGCGTGCAAGGAGGATGACAAATTCACACTGTATTTTTTTTAAAGTAAAAAAAAAAGGGTGGGGGGGGCTGTTTACGGCAGTTGTGAGGAAAAGTTGTAACAAATATATATCTGACCTATTTTCATCAGCACCAGTGCACAATGATTTCTGGCTCAATGAATAGATGCTGCAAAAGCCTAGTTACTTCACCGTAGTGAAAGGGAAGGAGGTTACGGGAATAAAAGGAGCAGATATGGACACCCAAGCTTTTCATAAAAAAGATGACTTACTTTCTCTCAAACATGACCAGCGTCTTTTCATCTTCAGCTTGGCCTCCTGCTTCGGGTTCTTGGCTGAGGGGGGACATACATTGAAAGGCTTTTAGCACATAATGGACATGGGTGGGATGCATGAAGATGAATAAAACCACAGTGGACCACATTACGTGGAAGTGTTAAGAGTGAATCAAAGTGTGTCATCACCTCTCTTCTGTGTTAGTCTGCTGAGGTGTGCTGGTTTCCCATGTGCGTGCCCATGACCTCTGAGTGCTGAGGCTGAATAGCCAAAGTGGAGAGAAAGACGATGTGGAAGTTATGAAAGATCGAGCACATCAAACAACTGTAATGTGTGCGGTTTGAGAGATTAGGTCCACAGTCTGCCCTTCCCCTCTATGTCTCACTCAAAGATTCGGAACACAATTATGCACTAGACTCAGTTTTAATACCTTGTCCTGTCAGTGTTGATAGGGATGACGTTGTCTGCAAGGGAGTCCAACGCATTACTGCTCATACTATTAAACACACAAAACAGGGAAAACAAGAACATTAAAAAAAAACATTAGAATTTAAGAAAAATGATGTGCCCTGGTGGCCTGGGGGTTTAAATCACTGAATATGAACACAGTGTCTCGAGTTTGAGTCATATGTTGCATGCCATTGCCCCTGACGGCTCTCTCACCCTCATTGCCTGTCATCTCTCTACTGTCAACTCTCTAATAAAAAGGCATAAAATGCCCAAAACAGAAATTACAGGCACACAGGGAACATGTCTCTGTCACACTGAATATAAAGAAAATATTACTTAATTTAAATTTTTGTTGATTTAATCAAATGACTGCTGCTCGATTAGCTATTTCAGTCATTTATCAAGCAACAATACCAAACGTTCCAGCTTTTCAAATGTTTTCTATTTTTCTCCATTTTATATCACTACAATTTGAATATATTTGTATTTTCTTTCCTATTTTATAAAATTGCATTCACTAAACAATCGATAAATGATAATGAAAATAATGCCCAGAGACAGTGTTGATGAACGTGAAGCAGTTGTAAAAACTATGATATTCTACATCACAGTAATGGTATCAGGGCAACAAACAGAGGTTACAATAGAGAAAAAGGGGAATTTGCATGACCATTCCGTACCTGTTGATGGAAATATCTGAGAGGGGCTTGAGCAGGTCAGAGGAGCTGCAATAGAGAAAAGTGGCTCATAATCAGAAACTGCTGAATTATGCATGCTGAGATGCTATCTGGCTGGCTGGAAAACAGTCACAGCTCCAAACCAATATGATTACCTGTTAGGGGATGTGGTCCCTATCGGATATGGATCAAACGGATCAGCCGAGCTGAAAAACAATTTCACACTGATTTCACTCTCAATTGTCAGCATGGCCCATCTTGTGTCGGAGGAATTCTGATCACATTGACTCATAATGGAAAGATTTAATGCAGTTTGAATGGTAAACAGAAACACAGAGGAACCCGGGGCCAAACTCAATCAAAATCAGAATCTGGATGTCTTGATGACAAATGGAAAGACTACTCTGCTGCTGAATGGCAAAATCAGCATATGCCATGTCGTCGAACCCTGATTCCAGCCTACATAAATTATTAAACGCTAAACAGATTGTTAATTTTACCAACAAGAAAATCTTCTTCAACAATTAATTTAATCAACCACATTAAACTTAATTTGTCTATTTAACTGGAATGAGAATCTATCTCATATACTGTTTTTTTAAGCAAATTAAAGTTATTCCCTCACTCAATGTCAGTAAACTATTATTTAAACACAATTACATATATAGTGCATATACTTAAACACACAAAGTGTGCAAAGCACTATCCTATATGTGACATGGCAGTAAATAAACTACCTTGATTCAGTGATATTGGTTGTCACATGTGAGCTCCTGGATGGAGGCAAGATTAAAAAGGAAAGGTAAGGAGTGTGGTACGGATGAATGGCATGATGGGAATAGAAAAGAGGGCAAGTAAAGGTTAGCGTGGTTCTTCTCATACACTATTTACAATGCCAGTGCATTAGAAAAGCTTGAAGCCCACTGAACAATTTAACAAGCATGAAAACCATCTGAATATAGTAGGCTACAGAGCAGACAACTTCTGTGTGTATGTGTGCACGTCTAATATCTTTTGCCAGTAATGATCACAGTTTTGGTGGTTACAGTGAGTGTCTCTCTGGAGCTGACGGGCAGAGAGACACAGCATAGTTGCGGGCAGAGTTGGTATAAATCATTACAAGGCATATCTGAATAGAATGCATTTCTTAGCAGGAACAGCCCTGCATAGATAGATAATTGTTTAAGAGCAGCCTGTCATCTCCCTCTACCTTTGTGTTTTCTTGGCTGTCTCTTCTGTCTGTTTCCTTTCCTCTCGCTGTGTGCTGTGGCGGGCGGAGACAAAACAAAGCCACAATACTAATCAGTACAGAACATTCTCTTCTATTTCCAGTCGCGCTGCAGATAAGACGTGGCTTTCTGTTTCAAAGTAGTATTACTCAGGAATATGCGACTTTGTTCCTATCTAACATGGAGCATGGGTTAAAATAGAATGCGGGACGTAAAGGAGCCCTGATTTATGGATCAAACTTGAGGTGGATGGGATTCATTAAAACTCTTGCACCTCAGGGAGCAGGGAGATGCTTGGCCCCGTCATCGGTAGTGATAAGAATTAATGGTACACAAGGAGGGAGTGATGGGGGAGCGGAGGCCATCACAAGTCTGTCTGTTTCTCACCTATGCGTCTTTGTGTTGATTGTACAAAGATATCATTAGCCATGAGATCCAGGGTGCAGACATCAAACACAAAAGTCAAACACAGAGCAGAGTTTGAAACTGTATCCAACTCTGGCAAGGTAAGTTAAGGTAATGCCTCCCCTTGCTACTGACAATGGAGCTATTGATTTTGTACTGATGAAAGGATAATTCTTCGCATAAATCTGTATTTGGGGCTTGGGTGGAAAAAAGCTTTTCCTATACCTGTCTAGTCCGCTAAGCAAATCCTGACTCCAGCGTCCTGGGCCGGGGGAACAGGCTTTGCTGACTCCTCGGGTCTGCAGAGGCAGAAGGAGAAGAGGAAGGGGAAGAGGAGAAGGTGATGAACATGGGGGGATTTACAATTCAGAGGAGGTTTCAGAGCAAGAACAGGCAAGAACAGTTGAGGTGGAGGAGCGGGAACTCATTAAAGGTCCAACAGTGCCACCTTGTGGTTATAATAATCACAGAATTTCTAATGTGAGGAACGCTTAATATGGTTAGAATGTATTTTGAACAATCCCACCAGTGAGAGTCAGGAGAGAGATTGTTATTTGTAAACAGTTGCTGAGAACTGGGGCTGGCTTCTGTTCAACACTGCTGACGGTAAGAAGAATCAGTGCATCTGCTTTGGCATGTACACACACATCTCTACATTACATTGTAAGTACCACATTTAATCAAGTCTAATTTGGGACACTCTCTTGTGTGAGGTGGTTTTAGGCACCTGAAATTGAGAAGTGGGTTATTTTGTGATTACTTAGAAGTGAACATAGTGGCACCTAGCCATTATCTGTTTTCGTGCCAACCCTGCTGTGACATGAATGATGTTTTTGGTTTTGTACATGTCCTCTGAACTAGTACCGGCTCATCATCCTTAAAGCTGGAGAGGAAATAGACTATTATTATCAGATGGCATGCTGTTGAGGCTGGAGGCACTAACACACATATTGGTTTATGCTGCTTTTGTCTTTCTTCCAGTACCTGGTTGAACTTGTGCTGAAAGAAATGAGGGTGTCGGACAAGGCGGTGAGTGTATCAACACTGGAACTGTGAGAATAGAAGAATAGAAGAAACACATGATATTCCAACCTAGCTTTCAATCACAAGTGTAAAACAGCAAACACACTATAGATGCTTTATCAGCAAAATGTTCTCTAAGTATCAAAATGCTTAAAGAAAAAGTGATTAATGTAGAAAATGCCCCCTGTGAGTGTTATGTTAATATATATTAAATTTGGAAAACATAATCACTGATGTATCATTGTCTAAGAAAAGTAGAATCGTACTGTTGTATTTGGCCAAGGTGGAGCAAATGTTATCCTAAAAATTTGGTAGTTTGATCTTTAACAATGCACCATATTTTGGATTTAAGTTCTTTGTATATGATATCTTAAAATACAAAGTTACTAGATGTGAACACTATTTTCCCCTGAGATGTAGGGGTATAAAAAAAAGTATAAAATGGCATGTAATAGTAAAACTCAAGGAAAGTACAAGTACTTAAAGCCTGTAAATGTACTTTATTTCTTTCCACCACTGAAACTATGCTACAATAGGTGCCCGAACTGACTGATTGTAAATCTGACCTTTGCTTTGGAGACGGTTCCAGTGGTGGTTTGGCCGGGGCAGTAGATGCTGGGACATTTGAAGCAGGGGCAGTGGATGCTTTGACAGTTGAAGCCGGGACAGTGGATGTTGAGACAGTCAAAGCTGGGGCAGTGGATGCTGGGACAGCTGAAGCTGGGACAGTGGATGCTTTGACAGTTGAAGCCGGGGCAGTGGATGCTGGGACTGTTGAAGCTGGGGCAGTGGGTGCTGGGACTGTTGAAGCTGGGGCAGTGGGTGCTGGGACAGTTGAAGCTGGGGCAGTGGATGCTGGGACAGATGAAGCTGGAGTACTGGATACTTTGACAGCTGAAGCTGGGGCAGTGGGTGCTGGGACAGTTGAAGCCGGGGTGGTGGATGCTGGGACAGCTGAAGCTGGGACAGATGAAGCCGGAGTACTGGATACTTTGACAGCTGAAGCTGGGGCAGTGGATGCTGGGACAGTTGAAGCCGGGGTGGTGGATGCTGGGACAGCTGAAGCTGGGACAGATGAAGCTGGAGTACTGGATACTTTGACAGCTGAAGCTGGGGCAGTGGATGCTGGGACAGTTGAAGCCGGGGTGGTGGATGCTGGGACAGCTGAAGCTGGGACAGATGAAGCTGGAGTACTGGATACTTTGACAGCTGAAGCTGGGGCAGTGGATGCTGGGACAGTTGAAGCCGGGGTGGTGGATGCTGGGACAGCTGAAGCTGGGACAGTGGATGCTTTGACAGTTGAAGCCGGGGCAGTGGGTGCTGGGACTGTTGAAGCTGGGGTGGTGGATGCTGGGACAGTGGATGCTTTGACAGTTGAAGCTGGGGCAGTGGATGCTGGGACAGTTGAAGCTGGGGCAGTGGATGCTGGGACAGTTGAAGCTGGGGCAGTGGGTGCTGGGACTTTTGAAGCTGGGGCAGTGGATGCTTTGACAGTTGAAGCCGGGGCGGTGGGTGCTGGGACTGTTGAAGCCGGAGCAGTGGATGCTGGGACAGTTGAAGCTGGGGCAGTGGGTGCTGGGACTGTTGAAGCTGGGGCAGTGGGTGCTTTGACAGTTGAAGCCGGGGCGGTGGGTGCTGGGACAGTTGAAGCTGGGGCAGTGGGTGCTGGGACAGTTGAAGCTGGGGCAGTGGGTGCTGGGACTGTTGAAGCTGAGGAAGTGGGTGCTGGGACTTTTGAAGCCGGGGTAGTGGGTGCTTTGACAGTTGAAGCCGGGGCAGTGGGTGCTGGGACTGTTGAAGCTGAGGAAGTGGGTGCTGGGACTGTTGAAGCCGGAGCAGTGGATGCTGGGACAGTTGAAGCTGGGGCAGTGGATGCTGGGACAGTTGAAGCTGGGGCAGGGGATGCTTTTACAGCTGAAGCCGGGACAGTGGATGCTTTGACAGTTGAAGTCGGGGCAGGGGGTACTGGAGTAGGGGATGCTTTGACAATTGAAGCCAGGGCAGTAGCTGCTGGGACAGTTGAAGCCGGGGCAGAAGATGCTGGGACAGTTGAAGCCGGGGCAGTGGATGCTGGGACAGTTGAAGCCGGGGCAGTGGATGCTGGGACAGTTGAAGCCGGGGCAGAAGATGCTGGGACAGTTGAAGCCGGGGCAGTGGATGCTGGGACAGTTGAAGCCGGGGCAGAAGATGCTGGGACAGTTGAAGCCGGGGCAGAAGATGCTGGGACAGTTGAAGCCGGGGCAGTGGATGCTGGGACAGTTGAAGCCGGGACAGTGGATGCTTTGACAGTTGAAGTCGGGGCAGGGGGTACTGGAGTAGGGGATGCTTTGACAATTGAAGCCAGGGCAGTAGCTGCTGGGACAGTTGAAGCCGGGGCAGAAGATGCTGGGACAGTTGAAGCCGGGGCAGTGGATGCTGGGACAGTTGAAGCCGGGGCAGTGGATGCTGGGACAGTTGAAGCCGGGGCAGAAGATGCTGGGACAGTTGAAGCCGGGGCAGTGGATGCTGGGACAGTTGAAGCCGGGGCAGAAGATGCTGGGACAGTTGAAGCCGGGGCAGAAGATGCTGGGACAGTTGAAGCCGGGGCAGTGGATGCTGGGACAGTTGAAGCCGGGACAGTGGATGCTTTGACAGTTGAAGTCGGGGCAGGGGTACTGGAGTAGGGGATGCTTTGACAATTGAAGCCAGGGCAGTAGCTGCTGGGACAGTTGAAGCCGGGGCAGAAGATGCTGGGACAGTTGAAGCCGGGGCAGTGGATGCTGGGACAGTTGAAGCCGGGGCAGTGGATCTTGGGACAGTTGAAGCCGGGACAGTCGATGCTGGGACAGTTGAAGCCGGGGCAGTGGATGTTTTGAGAGTTGAAGCCGGGACAGTAGATGCTGGGACAGTGGATACTGGGACAGTTGAAGCTGGGGCGGTGGATGCTGGGACAGTTGAAGCCGGGGCGGTGGATGCTGGGACAGTTGAGGCCGGGGCGGTGGATGCTTTGAAAGTTGAAGCTGGGACAGTGGATACTGGGACAGTTGAAGCCGGGGCAGGTGATGCTTTGACAGTGGAAGCTGGGACAGTGGATACTGGGACAGTTGAAGCCGGGGCAGGTGATGCTAGAGTAGGGGATGCTTTGACAGTTGAAGCCGGGGCAGGAGATGCTTTGACAGTGGAAGCCGGGGCAGGAGATGCTGGGACAGTTGAAGCCGGGGCGGTGGATGCTTTGACAGTTGAAGCTGGGACAGTGGATACTGGGACAGTTGAAGCCGGGGTGGTGGATGTTGGGACAGTTGAAGCCGGGGTGGTGGATGTTGGGACAGTTGAAGCCGGGGCAGGAGATGCTTTGACAGTTGTAGCCGATGCAGGGGAGGCTGGGACAGTTGAAGCCGGGGCGGTGGAGGCTGGGACAGGAAGTGGAGTGACCACCTTTGTACCCACTGGTTTTATGTCTTCAAATTGTTTTTTTCCTGTAACAGACACTGGAGAAGGGTCTTCATTCACAGGCTTGGGGGCAGCCTCCTCCATCTTCGGTACCACAGGCTGTTGAACAGCGACATCAACAGCTGCCTTAACACTGGTGTCGGCTCTGTAAACCACAGAGATAATGAATGGAATTGAAAGAACAGAAATCACTTGCTGTTGTGGAAATAGAAACATGGCTCGGGACTTACATTTTCTGTGGTATGGGCTCAGGGGCGGAGGCGACAGATGTGACGGGGACGACAGGGGAGGGGGGAGGAGTGCTGGCAGGTGCTGGAGTCGTAGCACTCTCATCATCATCAGTAATCTCCACCCTGCACATTTGTAGCCATGCACACGTACAACCACACACACACACACACACACACACACACACACACACACACACACACACACACACACGGAGTAGGGAATGGGAACAGACAGGCAGAGTTGATCACACACTTGGAGTTATAGGTTTTTACTTTAAGCTTCAGGGTCAGAGATATTAGATAGAGCATTTACCTTTTAGCCACAAATGATGGACTGCTATTAACCAATGAGATGTCAGGTGTTTCTTCTTGAGACCTGAGGTTTTCAGCACACAGCTTTTATAAATACCTCCATACATGCTCACCATTTATAATCACGTGTTGTTGAAAAAAAGTGTAATTTTTAAAATGAAGAAGAAATCCAGAAACAGGTTGAGTCTTAAGATCAGCATTAGGAGAGTGACATAAGACATGCTTACTCATATTTCTTAGCCGCAGAAAGCACATAAGACCGTTTCCTGACTGCAGATCTCTTCAGAACATTGCTGGCTGCCTCCGTACTGGGAAATGAATCATTATGATGTTAATGTAACATCTTTTCTGTGAGTGTGAGTTCAAACTGGACAGTGCTCTTTACAGGACTTTTACCGTTTCTCCTGCTCTTCGTGGCTAAGATGGCCCTCCTGGACCTCTGAAGCAGTCCTCACAGTGTATGGGGCTCTAAGGAAGAGAAGCACAAACACAGACCTCATTAAAATACATTCTCACTCAGCTGCCAGCTGTTATCTGGGAATCTGAATTTTTGTGCGCTCACATTTTCTTGTAGTTCTCTGAAGGTTTTTTGGTGAATGGTGTTGTTCCACTGTAAAACAAACAAACAACAGAAAAACAGATAACAGTAATGTGGGAACCAGATAGTCAATCAAAGTGCATCTCTAGTCACACTATTAATCAATTCTGCTTGTTGAAGTTAGAGAAGCTCTTACCTTAAGCCATTAGATGTTGAGGATGAAACAGGCTTGTCTAGTTTGACGAAAACGCCTCTGAGAGAAAAACAAAAGAGTAAATACATTATTTTAATGTAACATAGCCCCCATGCAGGGCCATTTTCAGATAATCACTACTACTGCTTTTAACTCTACTTTCAAATTGGATGTGTGAAAGTTGAAAGTGCTAATCTTACCTGATCAGGAATCCTGATGTTGGTGTTCTGAGATCAAAACAGAGACTTGTTATCAGCACAGTCATGTCTTGTGGGATGTTTCTAGATAACACTGTGACATTAGAAACTTGTGTTTACCTTTCAGTGTCAGATGTGGTGGGTGGAGGAGTGGATTCCACTGGTGACAACACTGGACTGGTCTCAATGGGGGCTCCGTTCAAACGGCCGGCCCTTACTTCTGCTACCCTGCATGGACGCACAGGAACTTGGTTTTGTCTACTCAAGTGAGTGAGTAAGGTGATAATATGGACAGAACCATATTTAAACATGTGGTTTTACCATGGCTTCACCTCCTCCTCAGTTTCAGCCTGAGTTTCATTACTGCGCTGCAACCAGCTGGCGTCTCCCTTCAGCTTGGTCCGCACTTTGGTGCTACGGAACACAGATGCTTTGTCCCCCTCTGAGACACAAACACGTGCATGTCATATACCCACCGGCCATCTGAGATATATTATACACACCGTAGGCTGCCTCACAATGACATCTTAATAACCGTCTGCTAAAATACATGATATTCAGTACCCTTTGGGCAGACACACACCACACAGCCACTTGTATTTTGCATTAAATCAGGGCAATGACACAAGATCACAACTGACAGAGACATCAGGCTGACGCAGAGACACGCCCTCTGATTTTATTGGAGGGATCGCCTCACCTTCACATCAGATCAATTTGCCTGCTCACCTTTTGACATGCTTGTTCTAGAAGTTTCTCTCGCTTCTTTGTTCTGCTATCTTTGCAGGTTACCTGAAAAACATAGTGGAACCACATTGAGACAGAGACTGTGTTGAAATAAAGTGTGCAATTTGCAGCAAATGTCTTATAACACAGTTGTAAAATGGTCCTCCCCACGCTGTGTTCCTTCTCAATAAGGAACTCTGTAAAGCATTCCTCTGTCTCATCTTTAAGACATGTAGATGATCCTGTCCTACCACTTTCCATAAAATGCTGCTGTTGCCTAAATATGAATGGACACACACACACACACACACACACACACACACATCTACACCTGGCCCTTTGTGATTTATGTGACTGGGCTAATATTGCTTCCTTCTATACAAATTATTTGACCCCTCAGTTATTTACGGTCAGAAATGAACTGCTCAGGAGCAAACCTACTACCCAAGGAACTGAAGAAGAAAAGGAAAATACTAATTAAACACTGACAAGTGCTCCCGTATGGGAAAGTAGGTTCGGATTACAGCTTATGCAAAATCAGTACTGCCAAATTCAGAATGCAAATATAACTTTCAAAACTCCCAGGGCTGTGAATTCACTCTCTCTAAAGCATGTTGCCATAATATCTCTTGAGGATATTGTCCTCAATATTGGTGACAGAGCAAATACACTGAGGGCTCAGAAAGCATATTTATCCTAGGTTTAACACATCAGCCCGCACAAGATAAATGATTGATGAAGAGCAATAGCATTTAAGGCTAGCAAGGACCAGGATACACAACTTTACTGACAAGCACTCATGACAGGGAAACCCCCAGAAACACTGACAATCACCAGTTAATACTTTAAACAGTTTATGTAGTTTAATTGATCACTTTTACTCTTTCTGTTCTTACAGCTGCTGATTACTGGAGCTCTAAATACAGAATCTATCCAGATAATTTGCTATAATCATGTTGTAAATAATACACCTGCCACCGAGCACTTACCTGCTTTTACTGTATGTCCAGGAGAACAACGTCCACCCAGCTCAGTCAAGAGTCTGTGATAAGTGTTTCCCTCTGAGTTTGGCTGGTGTGTGCAGAGGGAAAGTATTTGTCTGACAGGTGTCTCGGTCTCCGTTCTAGAAAACAGGTACGGGCGTGAGCACTAACAAGCCCAGCCAGTCAAGGAAGGCAGATGTGGGGTGGAGCAGTATGTGTTTGTCCATCTTTGTGTGTGTGTGTGTGCGTACGTACGTAATAGGGGTTGTACTCATTTCTGTTTACTAGATCTGTGCTTTGTTTCTGGGAGCTAAGCAAGCACATACCTGTTGTACAGGTGACTGACAATTAAAGAGAAGAGGACAACGATGACAGGGTGCACAGCAAGGCTTTCATAAATTAAGAAACGCGCAGCAACATCTCCTGTGGGAACGCTGCTCTCATGCTCACTGGGTAGGAAAACCCAGGAAGCAAGCACACAAATAATTAAAATGAGATCAGGGACAACCCACACAGCTGAACTGACATAACAAACACCAATCATGGTCACATCAAGAAAATTATATAAAAGCCAATCTTAACAATTTTTAAACATGTTGAATATATTAAATTCTAATTTCACTGTTGAAATAAAAATGTATTATATGACTTGCCTTGATCAAATATGTCAAAAGTAAATTATGACTTTCTTTAACCTTTTGTAGTACATATTCTAGGTAGAAAAGTAGATTAAAGCCTATAGTAAACAAAATGTTTGCTCAATGTGAATGACTGTCTATGTTTGTATAAGTGAAAGCCAAGAACAAGTCTATGCTCCTGCAATTGGCCAACAATTCCTCCAACAACTTGCAACAAAAAGCACTTTCTGAGCGACTGGCCACAGTATGCACTCTGTGGAAACACAACATGGAGATCAGCCGTCCACAGTTTCTGTAAAAAAAAAGCAATCTCACACATGCTGTGCATACATTTACGAAGCCTTTTCAAATTGGAAAAGGGTGTGAAAAGATTTCGCAACATATCAGAGAATGTGGAAGAGGAAATTAGCAAGTCTGAGAGCCAAAGTTTCACTCTGGTGAGCACATTGGCAAGTGTAAACGCTTGAGTCCATTATCTACCTGGATGCCTCTTTAACCTGAACAAGAAACCAGTCAGACAGCCTTGCCTGGTGCTGCTGACTCTAGCAGTGAATCATTAGGGTGCTGCTGGCGTAGAAATAAAATGAGAATGCAAAGTATCTGAACTTAACCCCCACCTTGCTGTTGCCACACCAAGACACAGAATGATAAAAATGCTTCAACCTAGAAAAGGCCAACCACTGTTAGCTATGAATACATGAAACATGAATACTGTGAAAATGAGGCACTAGTTTTTTTGGTTCAGCTTCATAACTTTTTATAACTTCATCATCAAAATGACAGAATAAAGAAATAGGATTGTAACTTATGATGCATTTTCATTGCCCATCCCATCATTATATTTGATGACAGTCCTTCTGTAGTAGTCTAGCAAATTGCCTAACTCGTGGGCGCACATGCCATCCTGATGACATGCAGTATCTAATTCCAGAGATGCTCCACTATCAGAGTAAAGGTATAAAGTGTGTTTGAACATGTCAAAACAAAAAATGATGTATAAAAGGAAATGCATTACATGGCAAAATTGTGGACATATTTGATCATCTCATTTGTGAAGGCTGTCTTAAAACAATACTCACATGCCCATATGTACAATAAAACACTACTGATCGCTGTAATCATTCCTCCTATCCACACTAGCCTTGAAGATAACCCTTCATAATGCAATTCCAATGTAAGAGAGCCTTTATCCCCGCGACCCTGTACGCAGGATAAGCGGTTGACGATGGATGGATGGAGATAGTCTTTATTCTGTGTAGAGGTATTCTAAAGTTCAGTCTAAGCTAATATTAGACTTTAGTATTGTGATTTAATCATATCAAATGGGTATCTAAGTTTGGAAGATAACCACTGATTTGTCTGTCTCCGCCTGCTAAAGCCTCATATTAGCTTTGGCTGAACTTTGAAATGCATTTTTGCACATAAAGACCCATTTCTGGCCCTGGAATCGCATTAGGAAGGGATCCTTTCATGGTCAGTATGGACAGGAGTTTTATTGTACATATACAGTGCGTATGTATTGTTTTAGGACAGACTTGAAAAATGTGAACCTATATGCTGCTTTCTACTGTAAGCCAGTCGAGTTCTTCGACACATAGCCCATTTTTGCACGTGGTGTTGTGCACAGGGGAATTGTTCTGTTGAAACAAAGGGCCTATCTCAAACTGTTGCCATAAGTAGAAAGGGGCTTATCCAAAACTAAATAAAACCACCCCCGACCAAAGTACAAATCCCTGTCCACATACTTTTAGCTATATAACGTAAAGCCAGTCATCATTTGAAATAATCCCTTTCAGGCAAGTTGTATCAGTAGAATCATAGTTTAGTGAAATGTATTAAGGCATTTTGACATAAAACAGCAGCATCTCAAAGTGCCAACATCACACGGGTGAAACACATGGAACAATAATATTTGTACATCTCTGCAGTTTTCACAGTGTAAGAAGTATATTTCAGTTGTCATAAACTGTGCTTCCACCATTCACTAAGTGCTTTAAAACTTTTGTAATATCAGACAGCAGTGTGTGGACCGAAACTAGGGCAGTCTGCTGCCTCCTGCTGGTGAAAATGGTACATGCACATTGAAAAGGCACACAAATGCTGCACATTGTGGGGCTTGGATACACATAAACCACCTGTTCCCTCATTTTGAATTGTCCATTCAGTGTGGCCTGATCACCATAACTGCACTAACACTGACAGTTGAACATATCCTAATCTTCCAGTCTACCATCAAGCCCCTTGTCTGAGATTAGGGTAGCTCTGCACCGTGCGTGCTATCCCCTCCTTCACACTGACTAACGGTTTGTAGCCCAGGTCCTGCTTGGCGCGGTCACAGCTGTAGTAGTGGTGGGTTCCAGCCAGGGCCACTCTCATTGGTGTAAAAGTGGGTTTAAAGGACACAAGAGGGCGCAGGATGAGGGCCAGCAGCCAGAGGAGCAGGGCCAGTCCATAGACAAGAATGTAGGGGAGGTGGTAGCGGGGAGCAGCATATCCCAGACCCACCAACACCTCAGACATGAAGTCCCAGAATTTAACTGGCTCATCATTGGTGATGTGGTACGGCTGAAAGCGAAGCAGAGGATTTAAGATGTAGTAACTTGAACTTGTTTGGAAAGCACTCACAAATAAAAATTCTAAGCCTGCAGAGGACAATGACAGAATCCTTTAAACCAGCAAAACCATGTGATTGGCTCTGCGTTTGATTTTATTCCCTACTCACTTTTCCACATATGGGCGAGTCCGGCCTTAGGCGTTCAGCAGCCAGGATGTGGCCATGAACTACATTCTCCACAAAGGTGAAATCCACCAGATTGGTCCCATCACTGAAGAAAACAAAGACAGAGAATTAAATAAAGAAATATACCAATAAGCAATAGGGATCTAAACGTATTAAAGAATGTAATCGTTCAGCACACTGGTGCAGCAGTCTATGGGCTAAGCCCTACTTCAATAGCAGGGGAGAAGTGGGTAGGCCAGTGAGTGGGTGAGTATGGTTTAAGTAGGGGAGAGTGGATATGTAGGATGTTTTAGAGATGACACATTTTCAGAATCCAGTATCGTTGACTAAAGTATAAGAACATAAACACATGCAAATTTGATGATTTTGGTAGTGTATTCTGTTTCCAGTTACCAACAGTAATGCTAGCAAGGTTAGCAGAACTAGCTGCAGCCTCTGAAATTTGGTTCTTGTGTTGCCTTCACAGGCGGTTGATAAATTAGTTGTGTGCACCCACTTCACATCAGTTTACTGCACAAGATATGTTATATTTATATGTAGGAAGCCCAATCGAGGCCCTACATTAGAGATCAGGTTGGGGGGAGAACTGACAGTCTCCTTGACGCTTTTTTTCTCTGCCATTCTGGTTTATGAAATGCGCTGAACAACGTTA